CTCTCTCTTGCTCTCTCTCTCTCTCTCTCTCTCTCTCTCTCTCTCTCTCTCTCTCTCTCTCTCTCTCTCTCTCTCTCTCTCTCTCTCTCTCCTTTCTTCTTTCCTTCTCCCCCTAAATAACCTCTTTATATCCCCCCCCTGGATGATGATGATGATAATGATGGATGATGATGTTATTCACAATACTAATGATAATGAAAATAAAAGCCTGTCTTTCTAGAAGTACTAATTGTACAGTCTAGGTGATTTTGATAACATAAAAGACTCGGGCTAGGAGACATCTTGCCGAGTGAATATGTAAATAGATAGATAGATAGGTAATTTGAATTGTAGTTTAGCCTGCTTTTTCTAATAGCTTTCTTAGTATTATGAAAAATAAATTTGGTGGAAAGGAATGATTATAGAATAGATTTTTTTTTTCTTAGATATTTACATTAATAAGTGTACAGAAATATTTATTATCTCACTAGACAACAGTTTTTTTTTTTATTATAGTTCATATTATACTTATTCATTTATTACTGAAAAATTATTATTTTGTGAAGCATCTTAATTTATTTACTGATTTGTTTATGGTATTTATCGGTAGCAAATGATAAAATTCTATAAAGAAATTACTTTTAAAAAGAGGAGACAGATAATGACTATAAAACCTTTCTATATTCATGGTTGATCCAAAAACTTTAGATTAGGATTTGTGAACAGAAACTCGGAGAAACTTAACATTTGTGCATTATTGGAGTTTTATTGATTTCTTGCTTTCATTGATTATGCATCTCTAAAAGGGATAAGAATTTGACAAAGAGGTTGATAGATTTTCACAGCAGTAGAAATTTCATCTTCTTGAAGCATAAAGGAAATTATAAAGCAAGTTTTCCTTGCAAAATTTCCTTTCTGATAAACACATCTATAGCCTAAAGAATAGTATACTTTAAAAATATTTTATGATTTGAAAGTGAGTATTAGAAGTTATTTTTTCTGTATACCACCATTGAACAAATAATAAACAATCCAAGGTACATCTAACTGGCATCACCACTTGACCCCACCTGTGGCCAGAGGATCTTCACAGGTGACAAATATAATGATATGTAAATCACATATGTAACAATTTATTGACCCATACCCTTTTTCCAGGATGGAGAAACAACAGCTAATCTCCTATTGATACTATTACCACTCCCCCCCCCCAAAAAAAAAAAAAAAAAAAAAAAAAAAAAGTTGTGGCATTATGTAATTATTTCAGTGACTTGAGAAATATGACAGATCCAGTTAAAAGCCTGTGAGCTTTATTTAAGTATGTGCCACTGCTTCTTTAAAATCTGTTTATCATTTCATCATTATCCTTTAATAAAATGGAAATTATATATGTCATTTAGACCAAATAGTTGGTCTACGTGAAATTTTCAATTCAGTAGAATATGTGAATTCATGAGAAAGTCATGGTGTGACGTATTACTTATATTTTTATTGCATTTATACCTGAGAATATATGTAAAGTTTGGTATTATCTATCCCATGGTGATGAATGTTGGTGCATTTTTATATTATTACTTATGTCAAGAGCAAAGAAACAGGGGGAAAGTTGTTTCTTATGCATTTAAAAGGACAGAAAAAACTGGTGATTTAGAGTATAACAAAGAATTATGTGAATGTTTCTGTTGTGAAAAGATTGTGGCAGATATGTTTTTGCAGTATGATGTGATAACATTGTTTGACGTTATTGTATGATATGATAAGGCGAGAGTAAAACGGTAAACAATGCACAATGTTTGTTAATTGATACATCCATAAATTGTTTTGATTTTGACTGTCTCTGTAGATTCGTTACACTGGACATGCATTCTGACTTCCTTTGTCCTTCCAGGAAATTCTGAAGCAAGTGACCGTGCTGAACTTAGATACTGGGGAACGAATACCTCTTAGTGATGCGGAAAGTTGTCTCCCGCCTGCCCTCAACCCGCTCTCTCTGCACATTATGAGACTTACCAGCGAATACGTCAGGTAATTCACGTTTTTTTGGCCTTTTTTTTTTTTTTTTTTTTGCTTGGATCGGAAAGTTGGGGGACAGTATTATTTTGATTAAGGTCCAGATATGAAAGTGATTTTATTAATGAGGAAGGCATGCGCGAATTACATTAATAATGTGTCCAACTGTTGTTATAGCTTCCGTGATGATAGTTTTTGTGATTGCTACAGGTAAGAGTATTTTTTCATTACCTAGAACTAATGTGAGCAGCTCATAGGGTAGATGTTTTTTTTTTTTCTAATTTTATTTGGGTATTTCAATTCCTTGACAGATGAAGAATATTAAATGTGTTGACATATAGAACTGAACAATTATCAGAAAAGGCTGTTGTTGCTTTTGTATACAAATATAGGATAGATAGAAATAACAGAAAAAGGTTTGGGTATATTTACAACCTGTATTATATCTTATTATATCTGAAATATGAGAGGATGATGCAGTATAGACTTAAATTTAACTGTGGTGTAGTATCATAACCTTTCCAATATGAGATTGAATTTTGGGGTAAAATATGTAGATAGCTTGATTGTGGTTTTGCTCAGAATACATAACATTTTCCGAAATTGATGTGATTTGTTGCTTGATTAATTGCACATAGCCCACCATCTAATCTTATTTTGTGAAAAAAATGTTATGAATTTAATGACATTGTAGAATAAGATTGAACCTGATTTACTTATTTATGTATTATTGTGAATTAGTGCTTGTAGTTGATAAGTCCACATATGGTGACCTTGCCTTTGCACTTAGGATAAAGTCCATTGATAGTTAGATATGGAAATTATCTCATTAGGTATGCTTATATGTATAAATGAATGTATGTATTTCTGTACATTTTATTTGCAAATTTGTTTTCAGTAAGTATAGAAAGAAAATGATGTACATACAATGAATATTAAATGCAGTTTAAAGAGCAATTGGACATTTATGCTAGAAAATTATGAGATACAGAAGGATAATACGATGTTTGGTTAGATTAGATTGTCCGTACTGATTCAAAACAGGAATCGGAGTCTTTGATTGAGTAATAATTATGATATTCAAATACTATGTTATGCTATATGCTAGTTTGTAGCTTGGATTCCCCTCCTTCTCCTTTTGGTTGATATGGTCATATTAATTTTTTCTGTCTCGGATGATGAATCTGGTAATAATGCGAAGTGATAGGAGTGGAATTACTACCCATCTAGTATTGTGGCTATGCTTATGTAGTTCCCTACTGAATTTTTGGTCAAAATTTGTCGAAATAAAAAGGTGATATGGCCATTTTTTTCCTCCCATCTTCCAGCCATAGCATTTATAAGGTATACGCATTGTTGTATGTATGAAGCTGTTTTATATGGAGAGAAATCAAAATATTGATTGATTATGAACACTGGCTAGAATTTTAAAGATAATATATGATATGCTGGTACAGTGGCAGTTGCTTACCATGAGTAGACAAATTTTATGGTGTTTGGGAAGGATGTAATGGATAAAAGAGTGATAAGAAAAGAAGTTTTGAAACGTTTAGGAACTGTATTAAATCAACAATGACTGGAGTTTATTTGTGTGTATATTGTATCATCATCTACCTGAAATTTGATGTATGATAGGACCATTTTTTATGATGCAAGGCTCAAGAGGCACTTTGTTTGGGTGTCTTATTGGGTTACCTTGCATTATTAGAATTATACTTGATAGTTATTCATTTATCTCATTATTTAGGGATATAAGATAGAATTAATATATCAACCCAGTACCTCTGGTGTGTGCAGAGTTATAAGCAGGCCTAGGAATCCTTGTGCCAGGCTGCCTTCCCGGGGACTATCCTGGCCTGAGCTCATTCCATGTGGCCAATCCCAGTCCAAACTGATGTTACTTTTATCTAATGATAAGAAAACAGGTCTATTTAATCATAAATTGTGTGTTTTACCATGTCCAGAATCTGGATGACGCAATATTCATGTCACAACTGACTTGGACATGGCTCTGGGCAACAGGTATTTCACCTCATGTTATGATAATGAATTCATTACATTTTATGCTGTTCTTTATAAGAAACCCTTATGCCCACGCCACATTCCCTGGGGCATTGCCTGAGGGAGGAAGGGATGTGTAATGCTACCATTGGCTATTGTTGTGTACAAAGGTGAATTTTAGCACATTTGCCTGCCATGTCTGGAAGATGCCTTGCACTAAAACATGACACACTCTGTTTACAGAGCTCTTTATGAGATCTATGGTGTCAACTACTCACTTTGTAGTTTGGCTTCTGCCAGTGTGACTTTCTTTAAATAAGGGAAGTACTGAAACTGTGGGGGCCACAGCCTTGTATATCACTGTATAGAATCTTACATTTTGTAAAACTAAGAGTTGCAAAAATGAATAATTAATAAATATATATATATATACTACAATAAAACCACATTCAATCTTGCACACAGTATAACATACCTTATTTATTAAAATGCAATTAAGGGTTGATTTAGCAACTAAAATTATCTCATACATTTCTGAATGTGCAAAAACACTGAAATCATGTTTTGCATACAAGTGACATGATAAAAAATCATATCACTTTGTTAGTGGGGTGCAGTGAGTGCTATGCACCAGTCATGTCTGAAAAAGGCTCTGGAGGCAAGTCCCTTGACCATGCATACTACCTGGAACAGAGTCCAAGTGGCCCTTATATTCTCCTGGAGGCAATGGGTTAACTTGCCATAGCAAGGTTGTAACAGACTGATTTTGTCCACTGACTTCATATTAGGGTATCATGTGGTTTACACACTAAACCATATAAAAAAAACATCAATAACAATAATAACAGTATCGATAGCAATGGTATTAATTTTCCCGCCAATTCAATGAATGGGAAAATCAGGATCAGTAACTAGGGCCTACTGATAGACTCCTTGCCGGCTAAGCACATGTGGAGCCATCTGTATGTAACAAAATTCACCAAAAACTACAGGGGACAGAACATAAATCCGGGGCGAATGGGTTAACAAAAGTCAAGCCTGAAACTCAGACATAGCTCACAAGAGTCCAGACTCATTTGTATTCCAGCTCAAAATTGCTGGTAGGAAGACAACTCCTTGGCAGATATTCCTTTTCATTAATAACTCACTGTTATCTCTTTAGGTAGTCTACAACTTTGTGTTATTTTTTTATATTTTCATAATCACTTTTCTGTAACCCTTTCTAAAGGCACAGAGTCAAATCTCCCTCCAAGAGGTACGTTCACTCATAGCGAAAAGGCTCCATCACCCTTCACTTACTAACATTATCTTATAAAGACATGTTCCCTGTCATCTCAGTCTTTGGCCAAATTTTTCCATGACTCACTCCAGTCACCTGTGACTCAGTCAGTTACTTTCTTGATGAGATGTCCCCATCACCTGGTTGATATTACCTGTAGGGAAGACCAATAAAACTCAGGCATAAATGTCCTGTCACTCAGTTACCCAGAGGCAATGGGTCAGTGTATATTGGGCCAATGCTATTGAATTCATAAGTTTTTGGGAAAAACATTTGTTGTATTTTTGCTCTATGATGTTTTGTTGTTTTTGATGTTTCTTCATCTCAGATATTTAGTGTGTTGTATTACTTATAACAACATCCTCATCTCAGATTTTGTTATTCATATAATATTTAATTCATAGTACATATTAGTTTATCTGTATTGATCAATTCTTATTTATTAATGATAAACATTGATCATATCAACAAAATGTCAAAAGACTTTATTTGTTACAATAGAGCTCATGTTACGTCAGGAAGGAGGAAATCTATGACACATAGGTTGAAGCAAGGAATAAGACGCAGCAAATTATGGTAATTTTGGAGGTCACACTCCACGCAGGTTTGATAAATGATGTAGGACTTGAATTGAAAAGTGATATGTGATATAAGTGATATGATTCTGAGTATATGAATTATATATTATTGAAAATATTATTAAGACATATAATGATAGTTTGATTAGGGCGTGTTGTAATTTTGGAGATATAATGTTTTTAATGTTTTATAATCTTATTAACCATAATGTGTCATCAAATCTTCCAAAGTAAAAAAAGGTAATTAATCTAGTAACATGGTAGAGTGAAATTGATCTTAAAAGCTTTCTGCTACACTGGCTAATCAGTACTTGCAGGTGGAAAGTTGATATAGTTACCTTGCCTTATCCTTGAGAAAGCAAAGTTAATCAAATATTGAATTCACTGTGCTGAATGTTTTGGCCATCTGGTATGTAGATGTGGAAGACAATCTCCAATGTCTTTTTTTTCCCCTTTTAGTGCTTAATTTTTTTTTTCATCCAAAAATGGAATACAAAAGAGTAAGCAGGCTTTCTCTGTCTTGATACTTATCTTTTTGGGTTTTTGTAATGCAAGCTGTCTTACTTTGACAAGGGGCATGTCATTTTCCCCGGTGGCTAGTACCAAGAAAATATATTCTTATCTGTTCCTGATGAGATGTAGAAGTGAAGTACAATATATTTGTATATACAAATTGGATAAGAGTAATGGTAAATGAGAGATACTTTGAAATGTACTTGGATGTTTACTTGTTTTTTTTTTTTTTTTTTTTTTTTTTTTTTTTTTTTTTTAGGAAGCCAGAAAATTCTTGAAAAAAAATGTAAAGTATTGAATAGTATAGGTCATTTTAGCTGTTACAGATCATCAAATATAGTCTGTCTGAATACATATTTTGCAAAGTAGCTTGTAATTAACTTTTACTAATGATATTTTTAAAAATGTGATTTAGGACATTTTTATGACTTTCTTTAATGATAAGTCAAGTAATAGTAAGTATTTTTGGTATAAATTAGACTGTTCATATTTGCATTGTATGCATCAGAAATGGAAAAAAGTTTCGTTAAAAAAAAATCAACAAATTTACTTGATTATAAAAAAAGAATATGAGGACTTATGTTCTTGGAATGGAACTATTTATATCAATTTGGATACTTTTAGATGTCACATTACTTTAAACTTGTTCAGGTTCAATTGACTCAAAATTTGACTGATCTGTGCTCTTTAGCTGCTTAATCACCCCTATTTACATGATATTGCCTGGCATTATGACATCTGACAAACATACCTATCAAGCCAATGAAGTTTAGATATCATTTGAAACTATATTTCACCATTTGTTTGTTAGAAGTATGATGACAGGATAATGTAGAATTTCAGTTACATTTTTAGCCATTCCTTCACAGTATTTTATATGATTAATTATGTAGTTGTAAGACTTTCTCTTTTTTTCATTGGAGAAGTAGATATGTTCTTGTGCTGTTTGATATGTTATTGATAATATTGATATTATTGTCCATAAAGTATTTTATGTGGTGTACTCATATTTGTTTATTTTTTATTTTTATGCATTACAAAGAAAGATATCTGTGAAGTATCAAATAACTCTCTATTTGCATTAGAGTGCATGTTGCATCAGGAAGGAGGAAATCTATGCCTGATAGGTGGAAGCAAGCATTAAGACGCAGCAGATCATGGTAATTCTTGGAGGTCACTCCACATTGTTATGACACAGACTGTATTTAATCAGATGCTTGTCTTGATATTTCTATGACAAACTTGATATAAAGTTGTTCTGCCTAATGTAGATTGAAAGTGGATTATGAATAAGTTTGAATTGTAAAGTAGTCGTCTTCATCTGGGTGGAGGCCTTAAAGCCCTGGTTCCTTACATTTATAGTCCCCATACAGTTAAGTGAAATGTGAATGCTCTTTTAAAGTAGATTTTCCCCTGTATTATATTGAAACATAGGATAAGTGACCTTATTTAGGGGAAAAAAAGCAAGTTTGTACTTACCAACCTTCCTTTTCATAGGAAATCAGCCATATTTTTCTTTTTCTGCTTTCCTTACCTTGTTTTTATTTGCTCTACAGGTGTTTATTATGTGAAATTCAATTGATATTGCCAATGTAGACTCTGCAAAGGCTAAAGCATTATAGGAAAGAACTGTCTCCATGTTCATTATTTGAAATATGAATTAGAGCTGTGCTGCAACAGTGAACATCAGATAAGAAGGGCAACATACAGGATCATAAAAAATATCTTGATAATTTATTTGTCTTTGATTGATTCAGAGATCTCAGAAGAAAGATCAGGTCTTTGTCAAGTTTGGTTATCATCAGCAAAGTCTTCATCCTGTTCCACTATGTTATTTTGGAGCTAGGAATATTAATTATGTGAGAGGTTAAACAGCTTTTTCCTCTTTTACTGTTTTCCCGAAGGTTGATAGTGTTATGTAAGGATTATTGAAAGGGGTTGGCCAGCAGATTTATTGACAAATATTTTGAAATGAAATAATATTGTTTAGACTGTCATTTAGGAACTGTTTGTTCTAAACTATAAAATATTTATATATCTGATTTCAAGTATTAGCATGATTATGCCTAAAAGGCAATAGACCTGAGTTCAGGCAGTTTTGCTAAAAATCACACTTTAAACAGACTGTCATGAATATATTACTGATCTTTAGACCAACGACTCTCATCTGTGAGTAACAGTCCTTTGGACCACAGACTGTTAACTATCGTATCTGAAGCTATGTATTCACTCCTCCTCAAAGAATGTATTATACAGGACAAATATTTAATTGTTATTATAATAATAAAAAAAAATTAATTGTACCCTCTCTCCATCATAGTAATACAAAGTATACAGAATATGGAAGTAGTCTGAAAAACAATGTGAATATGTATTCTAAAATTGGAAACAGAATATTGGCTATATGCATATAATTTCCTGTAAATTTTCATGTATATGCATTTGTTTGTTCTTTTCTTATTGACACCTTGGAAAACTGGAGTTGCTACATACCACTGTTGTGATTATAGCATTAGTAAGCATGAAAGTGCTCCAATTTGCCCCAAAATATAAAATGTCTCTGAAATGCTGAAAATCCCCAGCAACTGCTTCCTCCAGACCCCAGACCCCAGAGCTGCAGGGTTAAAATACACATTCAGCTCTTCCAGTGGAATGTCTTGGATGTCATTAGTCCTCTACTTGATTATGCCTATTTGTGTTTTATGGTATCCCTGTAATATTTTGTGTGTTCATAACTAGAGCCAAAGTATTACTCTTTTTTTTTTTTTTTTTTTTTTTTTTTTTTTTTTTTTTTTTTTTTTTTTTTTTTAATGATTGGCATAAAACCAGAAAATGTGTCTTTAGGGAGTTAGAAATAATTGAGGCATGAAACAGTGGACAATTTTTTTCCATAACATGATGGTAGTATCACCCAGATCCAAGGGGTTAATTACTAATTGCAGGCATCATTTCATATTTATGGCATCAAACAGGAAAATTAATGAAATCATGAACCCTTTAGT